GGGCTCTTTGGCTTTAGGGTTTATAGAGTTTATAGGGTTTAGGGTTTAGGGTTTTTTGGTTTCGGGTTTAGGGTTTAGGGTTTAGGGTTTAGGGTTTAGGGCTTGGGGTTTGGGGTTTGGGGTTTAGGGGTCAGACCATCACGAGAGGTGGGGGGTTTGGCTTTGCAGTCTAGGATTTGTCCCGTCTGAGAAGCCCCTGCAAGAGAAGGCTCCTCTCAACCGCTCTCAAGGACAGTTCGGCGCCTGTCGCAGTGTAAATGTCGGCGAAATTCGGCCTGTCGGACTCAAATTCGGAGCTCGGGGTTTGCTTCAAGTTTCCGGCAATGGGGATACATAAACCTCCGGTGCGCTGAATGCGTCGAACATATAGTTGAGCTTTGACATTAGGGTTGTAGGATCTAGGCTCGACGATTTGGGATGCAAGTGTGCTGCATGCGTGCACAGGTAATTACGTCCGCTTCGATTCAGATTCGAGCTTGGTGATTCCGCTAATCCGAGATTCCTCCATCATCCCTGCACACCCTGACGGGCCTATAAGGGGTAAGGACGACCGAGACAGCTGCGTCGTAGGCCTCGGCACCAGCGTCGCCGGGGGCTGATTGTCGTGTGGAGATCAAGCAGAGGGTTAGCCCCAAGTCTGGCTCCCTGTTGGGGCCATATTAAAAATGAACATTTTTAATCCTCATTGGGTTTTATTGTAACAAAAATCTAAAATTGTGTCCAACAAGGACCCCGAAGTCCACAACCAGCCCTTCGGCTTAGCCCTGCGCCGGACGTTCAAGGTCATGGATCTGTAACCACCTGCAGAGGGGCATGGCTTGGTCTTCTCTGCTTCGAGGTCTGCACTGGCTGGACCCACAACGCACCGGTTGCTTCTGCTTCTGAGGCTGGAGGCAAAGGGCTGAGGGCTGCGGAGCCGATGCGTTCAGGGGCGGCGACGCATCGCTTTACTTCCCCAACCAACACTCCACTTCACCGCCCACAACCGTAAAGTACCTGAAAGAAATTGCCTGAGTCCCAAAACGTCGAGGTTTAAAGACTGAACTGATACTACGAGTGCTTATGTACTGCCGCTTCATTGCAACTGGGCTTCTCCCGTTGCTGTGCAATAGTCGGAGGAGCAGGAGTAGTACTAGCAGCAGTAGTGGCAGCAGCAGTGCTAGCAGTACAGCGTTGTCGCCGACGTGGTTTTGAGAGTTGAAATGGTAGGAATTCGCACAACATCCGAATATGGAGCTTCTGATACGAGCAAACCAGACTCACGATCGTCGTCCTCAAAGAACACAAACAAGTCGAAGTGCCTTGCGGCGAAGCCGGGGGAGGGCTTGCGCCCACACCTGGGATCCCCGTCTATCAGCTGCCTATGGCCTATGGGCGGTTGCAGGTTTAGGATTAATGCCTCAGGGCTCCAGATCTACATGTTTAGAGGGTGGCGCTGGCAGTTTACAGTTGACGGCTCGAGGTTGCAAGCTCAGGGGCGGAAACCCAGAGACTTGGGTCTGTACCTGTTCTGAAGAGCACAAGCATCTCGGTGCTTGAGATCTTGGGAGCGGTGTTTTGGGAGTGGGATGCTGGATTTAGGGTTTTGGGGTTTGGGGCTTCGGGGTTTGGGGCTTAGGGGCTTCTTCATTTGGGGCTTTGAGTGTGTTCTTGCGAATAGAAAGCCACGCCTTGGTGAGGCTCAAGCCCGGATGCATGTTGCTCGGGCAACGAAGCCACGTCTGTCCGCTGCATGTCGCTACTCGGCTTGCCTGCTGCTGGTGAGCGCTGAGGTCCGTTCTCCACCATCCCCACTCGGTGGCGGCCGTCCCAATCATAATCAGCTCCGTCCGATTCAGAATATCCCGGCCACCGACAATTTCACCAAGATTGCGATCGATCCGCAAGATGTGAACCACGTTGCTAAGATCCGATGATCGCACTCGTAAGGAGCTGCGGGAACCGCTCTGGTGCAACAAAGGGTTCCAGGAACCAGCGATCGACATGCCCACGGCATCGGAGCCACCACGGCCAGTCACCTCTAGCTTCAGTTTCGGGTATGACAGGTCTGTCAAGCACGTCAAAACCGTGGCGTTCAAATAGACGGCGTGATCCAAGATGCGGCCTTCTCCGAACGGGGAAGTCTCCTTAGGGAACCTTTTGCATCATCTTGAGCATTGTGCGAATGTCTTGGAGCCGCCAGCCGTCATGCTGGACGAGGTTCTCCCCTGATTCACAGGACGTCGCATCATGGATCTCGCACTCGGGCCCTTCGTGCAGAAGCGCTTCAACAATGTGCCGATATGGTTCGGCCAGTGCCGAAAGATACTCGGTCTCCGGGCTCTCGAAGAGATGGTGCTTCAGAACACTTCCCAGCATGCCTCGGTCGGTCCACTTCTCAAGCGCAACTTCACCAGCGTCCAGGCCCTCGGCTACATGGAAGGTCGGAGCCAAGGGGGGCAGCTCTACTGCATGCACACCAGACTCCTGAAGGAAGTCTCGGGCCCGACTCAGTGGGGATCCATTGCTCCCAAGCGAGAGGGCCTCGTCGATAAAGTCGTAGAGTCCCTCCGAGGTCAGCTCAGCCGCTTCAAAATCGATGGCAACCAGACGGATTCGAGACCGTAGTGAGCCCGGCTCTGCAGCGTCGACGGTTTTCGCAGGGAGGACCATGACATTGGAGGCCCACAAGTCATTGTGCCGGACACCATGCTGCAACAAACAGCAGAGAAGATCCACTGTCGCGACCAGGAGGTCAAAAACATTTTGTTGCTCTGTCATTTGCTTCATGTGAGACAGCAGGTCTGGGCCATCCAACTGCTCCATTGCCACCAAGCTCCAGAGCGGGCGCCGACCTGCCTGGTGGCCTACCAGCTTGGGCACGCAGGCAAAGTGAGGAGCAAACAGTTGCAGAAACATGGCCTGCTTCAGGCCAAAGAGCATGGGCGTGATCTTCCGCACGATGCCTTCAGCCCCTCCGGCCCCTTCAGCTACCTGAACTTGCTTACTAAAGGCCGCCCCGCCCCAGAGGAAGCCAGACTGTGCCAGAAGCTGAAAGTCCTTGCCAGTCTCATCCCGGAGCTTGAACTGGGGCACCGAGAGGTCCGTGATCCGAACTGCTTGCCAGTCGCTCCACTTGGGTCCCACGCAAAGGTAATAATTCCCCTTGTACATCGGCGCCACATGCTGGAAGTGAATCTCCTTACAGACTCCATTTGGGTAGTTCTCTAAATTAGGGTCCCTTGTTAGATCCCAAATATAGTACGGCACCCTTATCAAAAGGACCCCTAAAAGGGACCCATTTGGAATTTAGGGATCCTTGCTTGGGGCCCTTCGGATTTAGGTCGCAGAGAGCCTAGAGGCCTTCAAAAAGGGCTCAAGGCTCCCAGTCCGGATAAAAAAAGGGGAGCCTGCAGGCCGAATTCGAAAAAGTTTAAGCGCTGCAGGGCTTGGGATTCAGGCTTAAGGCCTACCTTTTGAGTTTAGGGTTCAGGCTTAAGGCCTACCTTTTGAGCTTAGGTTTTAAAGTTGGCTCAGGGTTCAGGGGTTGGGTGAAAACTCCGAAACCCTAAAACCCTCTGCGAAGCTTCCAGGGCTGCCACGAGCTCCTCACGGCGGTAGCGACGCCCACCGTCCATGCCATAGGCCACGCTCCACAGCTCCTCCACAGGATTTTGGGGGTTAAAGGTTTGGGGCTTCGGGGCTGTTCGGGCTTTCGAATCGGGGGCATACCCTTGGTGCTTCGGAACCGGCGCTTCCTCGCTCTCCCCATCGGTGGGGCCGACCCACTCGAGCACCAACGCCGTGGCCGCCAGCTGGCGCAAGAGCCCCACAACCAATGGAAGAGAAGCCTCGGGCTTATGGCTCGGGAGTCTGGCTTTCAGGGCGTAGGGGTTTAGGGTTTAGGTTTAAGGGCTTCGGGGCTTGGGGTTTGAGGGGTTTAGGGCTTGGGCCGAACGTAAAGACAACAAGCAAAGCGACACGCAGACCTCGCAACGAGCCCTGACACCAAAGCCCTGAGCCAAGAGACGAGTCCTGAGCAGCCCAAGAGGAGGGAGAGGGTGGAGCCGAGGGCAAAGACCACGTCTGCCTGTGCGTTGCTTCTGCGGCCCATCTGCGGCTCCTTAATACGATAAACTAGACGTACACGAAGTACATTATTTTGGGATTGAAGCCTTGCATAGAGCAAACCGCATCCATCTGGATTTGCTGTTTCTGGGCAAGCATTCTTGTGACTTTGACCTGCGGTGCCCTTGCACTTGCTATCACCACCACGTGGCTGTCTTTGGCGGAGCCGTTGTGATGCATGGTTAACAGCCATTACCTTCCTGATCCTGTAATCGCCATCCACATCCTCACCGTCATCATCATCAGCATCATCATCCCCTCCCTAACGACAGTTGCATCAATATCATAACAGTCATAACATACTCTGTAGCATGATCCTCATCATTCCCATGACAGCAAACTCAGCGTTCACGGCAGAAGTCGTCGTCAGGATCGCCTTCATGGTGGTGGTGGTGGTGGTGGTGGTGGTGGTGGTGGTGGTGGTGGTGGTGGTGGTGGTGGTGGTGGTGGTGGTTTCTTAGTGGCTCAGGGACTCGAGGGCTTGTAGGGATGGCAAGGCATTGAGGGGTCTCAAGATCTGCAGCATCACGCGGCGTGCGACTGAAAGCCGCCTTGAGAAACTCGTTCCGCCCCACATCCAGCCACAAGCTGGCGCTGGCCTCTTGGCTTTCGGCTGAAAGCTGCGGTTATGTGATGTACATTGTCGCATTGTAGGCTGCAGGCTTACAAGCAATTCTTAGCTTTATCTTCTTTCCTTACTCGTTTCTGCACGCGCCATTTACTTTAGGTACTGCCCTATTCAACGCTCTGACATCGACACTCCAGATCTCCTCGTCACCCCTGCACCTTCGAAATCGCAACTAGGAGCACATCCAGTAAGGCTCTTGCGGGCCTCATGCCGGTAGTCCTCCAGACTCGGGAGCCTCAAGTGAAGGGGGGGGGTCGCACCATCTGCGACAAAACTTTCACTACACCCCCCGAAAAAAATGTGTCCAGGAGGATGCCAAGGGGCCTGAAGCGCTCCTCGGCTCCGGGCCCAAGGAAGTCCCGGAGGCCCTGCAGCGCCGGGAGCGCCCACCTGGGCGCGTAGACGCGCGCGAAGGCGGCCAAACCGAGGCTCAGGGCTCCCAGGGCGGGCAAGGGCACGGCGTCCGCGGGCGTGAGCCCGAGCTGGAGGACGCTACTGTCTCGGAAGAGCTGCTCCTGGTGGAAGAGGTCAAAAAGAGAACTCCACTGCTCTGAAAGCCGTGGCGTGCGAGGCTTCAGCTGGATGGCAGATGCCTGCACCAGGACATCCAAGCGTTCTCCATCCCCAATCATGCTGAGAAGGCCACCCTCCTCAGAGGCCGCCAGACTTGCCCAGAGTTTGTGGTGATGGAACGCTTCCTCGTAGGCAGGTAGCATTCCATAGCAGCTGTGCAGCCACTTCTCTTCATGCTGCCTCTGCCGGATCCCACAAAGGTATTGAAAGGATGGCTCTCTGAGTCGCGACTTGGCCGCGGCCTCCAAGCCATGTGAGCTTAACTCCTCTGGGATCTGGTCGTTCAAGGCCTGGCACAGAGCCACAGGCTCCGTGCAAGGGCCCTGCACCCGGTGCCGCCAGAGATGATGGCGCATCATCTTATCCTGAATCTACCCATCAGGTCCCCCGACCCCTCACGTCCCTTCATGACCTGCAAGACCCGGCTGACTCCTGACTTTAGCATGACTTCGACTCTGAAAGGGTCCTGATCCGTGCTGATATCTTGCAGGTAGCCTGCCAAGGCCAGTGGCGAGGCGAAGTCCGCAGCGTTGATGGCCGCCAGCGGGTCTGGAAGCCAACGGTCCAGGCCCTGTGCGCCCCAGTACACGGGCACGGTTCCGGCGGCCAAGATCTCCCAGAGCTCCGGCGAAGGCCCCTGCCCCCAATCTGCCAGGAAGGAGCTAGCAGAAAGGAGGGCGAAGTTGTAGCGCTGCAAGATCGGGCCCTCCTTCTGCGATGCACCGGCAGCCTCGCAATTTCAACGTCCAGTCAGCCGTCAGAGCAGTCAAGTCAGAAGAGCTGTCACAACAAAGGAAGCTTGCGATGGTTCACGGAGCTGTTGTCAGCAGATGTGCGGAAATACTGCTTTACCAGTCACTGCCTGGACCCCGTTCCTCACTCTTTGGCCCATGGCTCATAATGAACTTAGTGGATTGCAGCCTTCCTAACTCCATCAGTAGGACCCTCAGGCTCTGCCTCTTCAGGACCTCTTCCAAGTTACCTGATGTTACACCTTTCTATGCGAATTGGCTGCGGAGTATAGAAGAATGTCCTACGATCGTAGTTGTACTAAAGTAGCGGACCCGGCCTTTTGCCGCAGGAGCTCCCGCGCGTGGCGCGTGTTGTACGTCAGGTGGAACCGACACGCTCCTAGCACATCGACCTGCAAAAATTGCGCCAGAAAGTTGATAAGTCGGGCATCATCGGATGCACAGCTTTTCTGGGCGGAAACAAGCAGCCGCCTCCCGGACGGACTTGGCGTGAGCTTGGCGGACAGAGCCTCGAGAGTAAAGCGAGTGGGCGTTCGCGGCAGCAAGAGATCATAGCTCGCCCTGTCTCCGACAACGACAGGCTCTGCCTTCTCACAGTCCCCGTGCATCTGGAGAAGCTGTCCATGAGCGGCTGCTCCATATGAAATGTGAAGGGAGTGCAAATGGCCTGCTGCATCGACTGTAGAATTCTGGAGCATGCCCCTAGGCAAGGGGTAGATCGCAGCATGCCAGCCCCATTGCGGCAAACAACGCCGGTGCTGTAAATGGCAAGTCCGAGTTCAAGCTGCTTGCCTGCTCACTGTTGGACCCACATCAAACATATCTGAACAAACCATCCCGCCCAATGTCCTCGAGTGCAGATCGCACGCCAACTGTTCTTATAATAGTAAGTCACTACTGAATACTCCGAACCCTCTCGCAAAAACTCGGAGTGGTTAGGGTGAGCAGTACGATGCTTTTCTCATGACCCCACTATTGACCAAACACACTCGACAAGCCGACGATGAGTCTTCAGTAACTTATTGATTGCGGCACCGTACATGGGAACCTTTGGCCCCCAACTGCCGACCTGTTGAACTGCAGATCCATGACCCTGAGTTCTGAAGTCAGGTTGACTGGAAACCCAACCCACAACGCAGAATCCCCATGTCTGGCCTAAACCCTAAAACGTAACGCAGAATCCCCATGTCTGGGCCCTAAACCCTAAATCCTAAAACACATAACGCAGAATCCCCATGTCTGGGCCCTAAACCCTAAACCCTAAACCCTAAACCCTAAACCCTAAACCCTAAAAACCATCACGCAGAATCCCAATGTCTGGGCGGTACCGACATTGCCCCTGTATCGGGCTGACTGCCCTCACATGGGGGCTCACCTGGCTTCGCACGGCAGGCCCTCTTAGAGTCTAGGATTGTGTAGGGCCAGGCTACTGGGGGTAGGGTTTAGGGTTTAGGGTTTAGGGTTTAGAGTTTAGAGTTTAGGGTTTAGGGTTTAGGGTTTAGGGCCTCTTGACGTGGGCTGTGAGATGCAGGCTTTTTCACTTTACTGGCTTGAGGGTTGCGTGGCCTGGACTTGAGAGTTGCAGCTCGGCTTTCCTTGGGGACAAGGCTCTACGAAGTTGCTCTTGAATACGGTTTAGAGTTTAGGGTTTAGGGTTATAGGGTTTAGAGTTTAGAGTTTAGGGTTGTAGGGTTTCAGCCCCTTTGCGATCCTCAGCTTCTCGACAAAAAGGTAGGACGGCCGCTGACGAGCGCAGTCTGCGAGTCGAGAGGCCGCTGCATCTAGCTTTGAGTCTGAGGATGTTTCATTTCCCGAAGCCTAACCCTAAACCCTAAAACCCTGAACCCTAAACCCTAAACCTAACACAAATCGAAACTGCAACTACTTGGGGGCCTGGGGCCTGATCACAAGACAGAGACGTCTTGCAAGGAGGCAACAAGCAGCCTGAAGCTGCTTCCTGAGCGATCCTGCTCCTTTGCAAGATCCTATGTGGGGTTCCTCCTACACTTAGGGTTTAGGGTCTAGGGTTTAGGGTTTAGGGTTTAGGGTTTAGGGTTACTATCTGTATCGGGCTAGAGGTTCTGACCGCGTGCCTCCCTTGCGGTTGATGGTCATGGGAAACAAGCACGATCGTCGTCACCATGACATGTCTGCCATTCATCATCATCGTCGTCGACGGCATCATAACTGTCAACGTCATACTCGTCAACATCTATATATATATATATAGTATACAATAGAGTACATAATATAGTAGAGTTAAGAGCAGAGCATCCAGTATAGTATGCAATACAGTATGTAGCACAATATTTGTGTAGCTACTGTAGTTGTTGTCCCCGTCCTTACCATTGTCATCGTAGACAGGAAGACCATGGATCAGGAAGCCAGAAGACTGCCCAAACAACGACCGCCTCAAATGCAGGCTGCAACAGTAACCTTTATGTGAAATAAGTACGTCTGAAACCGTCAACCTTATACCTTTAACCGTAAGCTCTAGGCCTCAAACTCTGAAGCTGAAACCTCAAAACTTGAACCTTACACCTTCAGCGCAAAGCCCTAAAACCCTCAAATCTTAATGCCTAAACCTCACAATCTGAAACCCTAACACCTAGCTCCCAAACCCAAACTCGCTGAAACCCAAACACAAATCCTCCTACAAAGAGCCCTTCTGGCGACCCGACTACAATCATAACCCCTTTGAAACCCTAAACCCTAACCCCTAAACCCCTAACCCCTAAGCCCTAAACCCTAAACCCCTAAACCCCTAGACCCCAAAACCCCTAACCCCTAAACCCCAAAACCCTGAA